GATCTAAACCAGATTAGTATGGGACCACCTCTGAGACACTACCTTTCCGATGCAAAAAGAATTATCCAAATCGGTTGACGTGGTCTACAGTTGTGCGGTAACATACATAAAAAAAAATATTCCGACGAAGTGATAACCTCCTCCTTTTTGGAAGTCGGTTAAATATATATTGGAATTATTTCGCTTATTTTACTAGTACTATTTTTATTCTTCAAAATGCCCTTTCGAATGGTGCTGTAAGATTTTTCGACCAAGAGTTGCGGCCACTTCTCATAAACCACCCTAATAGCATGTTTTAACCGACAATGAAAATGAAAACACTGAAAACGAGTTTTGGGATTATGGAGTGAAGCCGGTTCCCACCGGTTGTTGGTGCCTCCGCTAACATTTCTTACATCATTTGATTAGAGTTTTGCTACACAAAAACAAAACCAAAATACTTTTCCTTCATTTTCGTTTCATTAACAACCTTTTACTTTAATTTTTTTTTGTCAGCCAATTTACAATAAATCCGAAATGGCGTATTAAAGATGATAAAATATGACTTCCACTTCGATGAATAACCGAGAAAACTAGTTAAAACATTGATTGGAATGAGTGGTACGTGAGTTTTCAAGTAGATTGCAGCGAAAGCTGGTGATCGGTTGACCGATTTTACATGGACGAAAAGACAAGTTTTTGGTCGAAAATCAGGTTCAGCAACGAAAACATGTTTTCGATGTCGGTCAGAACATGGTATAAGGAAAAACTATGATTCATTACAGGCTTTTTGACGGGCNGTGATCGGTTGACCGATTTTACATGGACGAAAAGACAAGTTTTTGGTCGAAAATCAGGTTCAGCAACAAAAACATGTTTTCGATGTCGGTCAGAACATGGTATAAGGAAAAACTATGATTCATTACAGGCTTTTTGACGGGTTATTGTAGGCTAAGAGGTGATTTAAATAAGCTAGGAATCTGGTCAGGCCTTCACCAAGGAGACATAATTACACCTCCTCCTGTAGTGTGAGAGCGTTTCACGTCGAAGAGAGACGAGCATATGGAGGAGCACATACACGCCCTACCCCCGGGATCTATTTTGAAATTTATAGTCTCTGGGGCTAGTGATGAGTTGAGGGCAGAATCTATCTAAGTTTATCAGCCTCTGTCCGGTTTCAGAGCTATCGCCGCAGAGATCAAAATATTTTGACTTTTGTATTAAATATGACTTCTCTACCTACTCTGGGATTAATCCAGGTGCATATCTGTAAAACATTTGAGAAGTAATATACCGTGGCGGTTTTTCTCTTTTTTATTTATTTGGATAAGCGTTTTTTACATGACTAGTCTCAAACCCACCACTTAATATTGACCTAAGAAGCTACATATATAATAACTATGCATCTCTTCTTACTGCAAAGGTGAGATGCAGCGAGGTTTGTCAAATCTTTGAAGATTGTTGGCGCTTTTTTGTACTGCAGAGGGATATATATAGACAAGTTTGTATGTGAATGGTCTTAAATATGTACATATCTACATGTCGATATGTATAGGTATGTGCATACAGATACAAACATTAATCGTATCAGAGCTCAATCACAATTATTGATTAAAATATTATTAGGGAACATAAAATAAAAAAAACCCATTATTTCTTAAAATTGCATTACTACCAAATAAGTAAAATTGTTTAGCTCTATTTTGGGCTAATTTAAATTAAACGCGATAAGATATAAGTGGAAGTGGTCTAATTAATATCTACTTAATTAAAAAAGATTTATCGCCTCTGTACCTACTAGAATAGCATTTAACGCTGCGACTATTCGTCTCAGTGTGCTAGGATACTCACCACCAAGTAGTGCGCGAACTATCAGAATACACAGAGGGCCAGAAGGCATTAAAACTTTAGAATTTTAATTTTTTATTCTAATGGCAAAAATATACAGTATTTAAGGTAACTGATATTAATTAAAATATTATAGCAATTGCCTCAATATTGTGGTCACAATTTCATTTGGTATTTGAAATTTACAAGTCCGGTGTACAGTAAAATTGAATTTTTCTTTCAAAAAATAATAAATATTTATCTTTTGTCTTTTGTTCTTAAGCTTTTATTAGTAGCTTGTAGCAACTCCAAACTTTTACTTTGTTGTACTAAAATTGAATTGAAAAAGCCCTGAAATTAAATATTGAAAAATTAAATAGTCGATACATATCAACATGAGGGTGTCATACAATTATGATAACCACTATAGTGCTTATGAATTTTATAATAAAAGCAGAAAAATGTAATAATTCAGCAAGAAAAATCTATTAATTTTTGCTTCTTCACGCAAAAATTGAAATCAAAATATTCGGTATACTTTTTGAGCAAAGAATAATAGTCAATTTTTGCCTTCTTTACTTTTGCATCGGAAAGTTCTCGAAAAATCCTTATAGGTGTGTAGATAATATCGAAAATGTCGATAGATAAAAAAGAAGAATCCTGAAAAGTTTCGGAGAAATCTCAAAATGCTATGAATAAATCCTAAAAGCCACTGAAGATGAATCCTTAAATAGTTCGAGAGCACCGAAAAAAAAACTAAAAAAATCAGGAAGCAATTCCTTTTATTGTTAATGTTAAAATAATATAAAGACAAAATTGCCAGTATTCTCTTCTCAATTAGTAGGAGATCCGACGAAGGCACGACCTTCACCCATCTGTTTAATGGATGGAATCTTGTTTATCTGAAATTTAACGTGTTAGGAGATATTTCGCCAGCCTGGCCAGGATACTTTTAATTAAATATTCAAAAATTATTATTACTAGTATCGCCCAGTTGTCGAAATTCGACATACTTTTTCATACACTTTTGAATTTTACCTGTCACTTAAATCCTTTATGCGAATTACTATTTTGAAGTCCACCAGCATAATTTATAGCGAATTTGCAGGAAAACTTAAAATCGAATTATGAACGTTAATACCGGATTGATTAATGTTAATTCTACCAAGTCTCTTCCAAATTTCTTCAGTAGCTTTTGAAATTAGATCGAAAACGGAACCTCGATTTTCATTTACAAAAAATATGCATATGTATTTGTATGTACAGATGAGATGTTCAACACTGACTAATATGTCAAACATATGCCGATTCAGACTAAATAAGATTTTCGATTATATCTGTCTGAGAGCCACTTGGAGGTTAAAAACTAAATTGCCCACTTATACATAAACTCTTTCCTTTTTTTCATCAGAATCGTTAACGGTTGAGAAAGTACCTTGACGGTTTACAACAAAAGATAATAATTCTTTCTCTAACGGCGATGTCACACGAGTTTTTGTCAAGACTAGGCCAAAGCCCAATATTTTTTCCAAATATTAACACCAAATTTCATGTTACTAATATGTGTTCTAAAAGTCAAACAAATCTGATCATAAATATGATTTTTTAGGATAGCTCTCAATCCCTGCCCCATCTATCGGAAGACTGATCCTTCTCAAAATTTTAGCACAAAACAACAATCATTCAATGGGATTTTAAAATCTGGGGGAAAATGGCTCCCAATTGAATGGATCTTGCGATTTTATATGTGTATAAATGTACGTGTATAAAATTCCCTTGCCTTATAATAAGTGGTTCCAGAGATAACCCATATGAGTATTTCAGTTTGTATGGGCGGTGCCACACCTTCCTTTCCAAAATCTATCACTCTTCGCCGAGAGTACGGTATTGATATTATAAACAGCGGTGCCAAATTTCAGTGGTTCCAGAGATAAGCGATATGAGAATTTCAGTTTATATGGGCAGTGCCACACCCCATTTCGCATTATCTACCACGTTTCGCCATATCATAAATAGCTGTGTCAAATTTCAGGACGTTAGCATAAGCGGCTCCAGAGATAATCGGTATGAGAATTTCAGTTTGTATGGGCGAGGCCACGCCCCTTTTTTAAAATCGACCACTTTTCGCCGTATGTATGGTACTGACAACATATGCTGCTGTGTGAAATTTTAGGACGTTAGCATAGGCGGTTCCATAGATAAGCCATATAAGAATTTCAGTTTGTATGGGCGGTGATACGCCCTCTTTTCCAAAATCTATCTTTTCAGTATAAGCGGTTCCAGAGATAAGCGATATGAGAATTTCAGTTTGTATGGGCGGTGATACGCCCTCTTTTCCAAAATCTATCTTTTCAGTATAAGCGGTTCCAGAGATAAGCGATATGAGAATTTCAGTTTGTATGGGCGGTGCCACGACCCCTTTCCAAAATCTACCCTATTTCCCCGCAAGTAGTGTATTTACAATCTATGCATCTGTGCTAAGTTTCAGTTCCCCAGCGTAATTGGTTTTAGAGATATAGTGGTTTTCACATTTTAGTCTATATGTCAGATGCCACGCCCCCTATGTATCGGGATTAACATTTCGGTGTATGTTTCATTGAAATCGAGCGAACGGTGCCTTCAAAAAAGAGATTGCAAAATTTACATGTGGCGTATTTATATATAGATATTTTTAATTTTCCACTCAATTGTTTAATTAACAAATTACATATATACCAATCGAAAGCATAAAGTCTATGTCCTATCGAAAAGTGATGTATGTATGTACGGCTTATGGAGAATTTCATTGGCTTTCATCTGCCGTATGTCGTGTTACGATTGTTCAATTGTTTCGTAAGATATACGTGGAACCACTTTTTTTTTTTAAGTTGGATAACGGTAAATTACAAAAATCTCGAAAACGTATCCACAGGAAAAAAAGTTAACTCGATTTTCGGAATCACCGAGCAATTCTACATAGAAATTGGATAGTGGGGTCCATTGACAATTGCTGTAAACAGTGGAATCAAAAACGAAAAGAGAAACGGGCAATCAAAAAGTGACATATTTTGGAAACGAAAACACCATTAGAATTGGGAGATGCTTGCCCGTTGATGTGAGTGCACTGTCGTCGGTATCCGCTATAATCTGTCAACCGGTGTTCTGTTCTGCAGTTTCACGCGCATCGGGTTTACTGTAAGGTTCCAGAGTAGGGGGGAGAGACCTCCTCCTTGAGGGGTGCCTCTCGTTGGATGCCTGGTTATGGACGCGGCTCTCCAACTTTGATGGGCAAGCCTTATAAGTTCCAACAGAGGGCGCTTCAGCCCCACTTGAAAGCATTGTGGGGTCACAACGGCATCTGGAAGCAGATTGTTAAAGGCGCCCTCTATGTCAAGAGAGACACCAAAGGTAAATTCCTTAAATGCGAGACCTTTTTAAATTTCGGAGACAATTTCCTCCGACACGTCATCTGACGAAAGTCGCTGTTGGATATGGGCGTCGAGAAGTCTTTCTAGAGTTTTAAGAAGAAAGGACGTTAGGCTTATTGGCCTGAAGTCATTGGGTTTGACGTAAGATACCCTTCCACCCTTCGGTATGAAGATTAACCTACTAGAAAATTAATCTTTCATCTTTTTTAATTTTGTTCCAAGTGTTATTATGAAACGCGAACTATTGGCCAGTGTCAAAACAGTGCAATCTTAGATATACTTTTAAGTTGCTTGTCTAAACTGGTTTCAAAGTCGAGGGCTAGCCAAAATTGCACACAGAGAAAAAATCGTCATTTGCTTTTCGAAATCGTTATGACAGTCCAAATGATGATGAAATGTCAACCTGGCAACATTGGCTCAGAAATAACTTTTCTTTATGCGTGAGGCCTTAGAGGATCTTGCCGGTGTCCTCACGGTGGCGGATCGTGTTAATATCTGGGCATGCAGAGGAAGCGTCTCCAACACCTGAGGTATAGCTTCTTCTGCAGTCTGGTAGAGAACACGGAGGTGAAACTCTTGGATTTCCTAAATTTCATTTGGAATCGTAAATAAATCAGTCGGTCAATTCCTTGTTTATTTTTCTTATTGTAAAGGATCCTTGGGGAGACGTTCTTGCTCCTGACACTCACTTACAAGGGACGCTTGCAATGCACAGCCTCACGCAAAGATATGTCTGTTTGTCTCCAAGCTAAGGTTTGGAACTCTCCGTTTTCATTTCGTTAGGAGAAACAACAAAAACTACGCTCGAATATACACGATTTTTTATTAAAGTTTTAAAACGAGGGTTATCGCCATGATTCACGCCCTTGAGAAGTCTGATTGTCACAAAAAATATTTATAATAATTCCGCATTGAATTACAGAGCTGTTCAGTAACAGAGGAGCTGGCGTACAGAAAAAAGCAATGAAATTAAAAGATAAGCAATGCTTTATTTTAAAGCTAAGTTGTAAGTCTATATGCACATGCGGGAGTATTGTTGTTAAATTTAGCAAAGTGTAGCGATAATTGTTTTTCTTTTTTGGTTTCGTGCCAGTGTTAGGCGTTTTTATCTACCCTATTTAACAGCAGGTGGCGGATGCATAATCCGGAAATCGGGTTCCGCCTGCAGCCTTTTGTTGTTGTTTGTTTTACAAGCCGATAAAAGCAATTGTCATGTTTTACAATATGTTAACATAAAATTAACCATTTAAACATAAAAGGTATGAATTGTTTAGAGTTAAATTGGTTAATTGATTCGCGCCGCGAACGACAAAAACACGGCTACACGGGAAAATGAGAATCGTTTTACTGTTACTTTCATTAAATTTTCTGCTAGTTTTTGCCCTCGACAATGCAGAGATTGCACACAAAGAGGAGGACTACGGTAAAACGTGGATGTGGATGCCTGATGGCGATGGCAAACCGCATATTGCTTACCTAGTTGAGCCACCAGAGGACAGCCAACAGGATGATTTGCCTGAATTTGTTCATGTGGAACTTTTTGATGGGTAAATTTTCTCAAAAATGAGTTACGAATATTTTGTACAAGTAATAGTAATGAAAAAAACTCGGTTTCAGTGCTGATATCGATGCCCCTGCGACAGCTCAAATATCAGTTAACTATTATGCCAATAGGCAAGGAGACGCGCATACGCGTCAAAAGCGCGATACTTGGGAAGAGTTGGCGGGGAAATTCAATGCTGATTTGGATACGAAAATTTTGGTGCATGGCTGGAAATCGAGCACCACCAGTGATTCCATACAATCTATACGTGGCGCATATGCAATGCGTGGGAATTTGAATATTTTCGGTAAGTTTATATACAGGTTAGCGCCCCATTGTGAACTGAAAAAGTCCTAATCCAAACTTGGGTCGACTTTTGGCCGAAAGCGCTTGAATATTTTGATACTTGATATGAGGCTTAGTTATATTTTGAAGAAGACTCTTGGGTCATAAGTAACGCCCGCCGAGTTAATATGATCGACTACCAGAAAGCCGTAAAAAAAAAGATCAAACTATACTCCTTCTTCTTATTTGGCGCTCTAACCGCCTAAGCGATTTTGGCTGAGTCGTTTCCCGTCGCTGTTAACTGACGCCAATTGAAAATGCCAAGTCCCTCTCCAATTGTTTTTTCCATCGCAGTGGGGGCTCATCATTCCATCGTCTGCGGTATTCGCTATCGCCAGCGCGTAAAGACCCGTAAATCTTCCGCAAAATCTCTCTATCGAATACTCCAAGAGCCAAGCGCCATATACCAGCACGGGCATGATGAGTGACTTTTAGAGTGTGGTATTCGTACATCGGGAAATGATTTCACTCCTTAATTGCCTACTCAGTCCAAGTATAACTTGTTGGCAAGAGTGATTCCGCGTTGAATTTCGATGCTGACATTATTATCGATGTTAATGCTGGTTCTCAAGTAAACAAAATTCTCCACTTTCTTGAAATTTTAACTGTCAACAGTGACGTGGGTGCCAAGACGCGAATATGCTGACTGTTTGTTTGATGATAGGGGATACTTCGTCTTGTCCTCGTTTACCACCAGACCCATTCGCTTTGCTTCCTTATCCAAGTTGGCAAAGGCAGAACAGACTTCGCGGTTTTTGTTACCGATGATGTCGATGTCATCGGCATACGCCAGCAATTGCGCGCTCTTTTAAAAAATTGTTCCTGAGCGGTTCAGTTCTGCTGCTCTTATTATCTTCTCTAACATCGGATTAAAGAAATCACATGAATGGGAGTCACTCTCTCTGAAACCCCGTTTGGTAGCAAACGGCTCGGAGAGGTCTTTTGGTGGTATTCGTAACGTCATTTTACACAGCCCTATCAGTTTGATGCCAGATTTAAGATGCCAAGGTTAGACATCGCGGCGTATAGGCGACTTCTTTTAGTGCCATCGAAAACGGCTATGAAGTCGACAAATAGGTGGTCAGTGTCGGTGCACCTTATCAACTCCTCGCCGTCGTGCTTGAATAGCTCAGCTGGCAGGCTGTCAGCTCCAGCAGCTTTTTTCTTTTTCAGTCACGCTATTGCCATACTATACTACAACAAACCGCAAAAGGTAACCACGGTTATACATAGGATCATTTAAGATAAAAACAATTTCGGCTCTGGAGCCGCTTCTAAGTTGGATTATAGATCAATCGTACCTTTAGTTTTTGGTGAAACTTTTTCTCAATCGAGGTCTTGTCCAAGCGTGCTAGATATGAGCTACGGAACTAGAATTATCAGGTAGTTGCTCGGGACTAATTATAGGACCTCGGTGGAAGTTGCCAGCACAATTCACACTTCCCAGCAGGCGCCCCAGATTCCGAGCACTGCTCTGCACAGCATCGTTAGACGGATTGAAGAAGCCATTGGAAATGAGGAATACCCTAAGGTAGTCTGTATAGCTGTAGCTGGAGCGTTTAACAATACCTAGAAAAAAGCTTTTACAGATGGTTAACTAACTACTGACAGAAGTAGAAGGTGGAACATTTATACTAACAGCTTACGGCAAATGTCCGATTACCCTAAGCTCTCTGGCAAACCGGATGGCGAAGGCCATCAGCTAGTGTGCTACGGAAGGACGACTACCGGTTAACGGGCAGAGGCCGGACTTGGTACTTGTCAGTGTGGAGCAGATCTAAGTCTACAATCAAAGCCAAGCGCAAAGTACCTCGCAGTTTTAGTGGGCAGCAAACTTTCAAAAAAAGGCATCGGCGACACTGTATACATGTAAATCGAAGTTGAGCTGTACTTGGGGTCTTTCGCCTACTCTTTGATATTAAATCTTTATAGCTAGTGTTAGGCGAATACTTTGGTAGGGGTATTAGTGTAGTCTACAGCGTCTCAGTCAAAAAACTAGAGAGCAGGCACCTGCGGATCTGGTTACTAAGAAAACAGCTTTTACAACAGCCGCCATCCTTGGCAAGACGAAGAAACTATGAAATGTAATGCGATGCATATTAACTATGACGCTTTCAAAATGAAAAAGGAGCTGCGGTTTACTGAACCGGACATTTCTTAAGATACCGGACCACCGTAGTAATTTTAAGCTGAAATTTCGGCATTGGAAGCTGCAAAGATAATTCAGGAAATAACAACGCCGGGCGTGCCATTCGACTTTTACACGAGGCTGCCAATAAGACTCTACTATTCGAATATGGTCATAGATTGTAGGAAGGCAAAAGGAAGTTTAACCGTCCACCTTTATTGGCTACTAGGACACAATGGTAATGTAAAATATGACGACTTAGCTAAAGATGGATTTCAGGTGGATGCCTCAGTAGCGACGGGCGTACTAATTACTCTATAGGAAATCAAATGTTCACAAGGACTTTTCATGCAGTGTACACAGGACTGTTGAGTTGCAAAGATTATGCGTAGGTCATATGATAAAAAAACTTGCAGACTTCTTGGTATTAGGCCGCTAGGCCTAACAAAAACTTTCCAATCAAAAAAAAAAATAATAGAATTTATATTTTTTTCCAGCAATCAACTGGCGCGACCAAGCGGATAATATTTACTATTTAAAACCCGCCCGCTACACCGTGCAAGTGGGCAGAGCTGTGGCGAAACTAATCGATCTGCTTGTCGAGGAGAAGGATGCAGATTCGAAGCGTATACATTTGATTGGACATAGCTTAGGTGCGCATATAATGGGCTATGCTGGTTCATATACCAAATATCGCGTAGCGAGAATCACAGGTGAGTTGTAATGCATTTTTTTCGCTGAATATTAGCTAAGTACATACATAAAAATTTACTCCAAAAAAAAACAAACAAACAGGTCTCGATCCTGCCAGGCCAGCTTTTGAAAATTGCAGCGGTCCCGAACATCACTTAGATCCATCGGACGCTGATTTTGTGGACGTCATACATAGTTGTGGCGGAATTTTAGGATTTCGTGATCCAATTGGTTTGGTAGACTTTTACCCGAATGGCGGTGGAGCACCACAGCCAGGTTGTACAGAGATCTCGCAAATCTTTAGTGAGTAACAGTAGAAAATATGTCGCATTTTAAAATACTTGTTAACTTTGCTTTTCTTTTTGCTCTTTACAGCTGGCTGTAGCCACGGTCGGTCTTATGAGTATTTCGCGGAATCCATACACAGCGAGAAGGGTTTCTACGCTACGCCATGTTCATCGTTAGAGCAGCTGATAGGTCGAAATTGTACTGGAGCCAAGATACTGATGGGCGATCCTGTACCAATGGACGCACGTGGCATTTACTACTTGAAAACTGGTAGTAGACCAGCCTATGCACTAGGTGCGGAAGACTAACATTTTACGGACGTATATCTTAAAAGATAAACTAACGAAGCTGTTTCATTCCTAATGACCGAAAGAGCTAACAAGTATAAAAGGTGCAAGATTTGTAATATTTCTGACTTTGTAGGCTTTCAAGACATCTTGGAAAAAACATTTGCTTTGAATATTAATTTATACCTTTCATATAATCGGTAATTCCTCCTGTATTTACATACTACATACCTTGCATAAATTGAAACAATTATGGTTCAATTACTAAAATGCAAATATTAACTTTAAGCCATTAACTTTAATCCATATCGTTGAACTAAATAAAAGTTTTATTCCAATCTGATTCCATGTAATTGACTGTCGCAAAATACTTACTTCCCCATTTGGATATTTTTTAAAGCCTTGCACTAAATATCGCGATCTCTACCGTGATCAAAGTTGCGATCAATCAATAATAAATTGCCTAGCGAGAGCGTCACATTCATATAATGTGCTCTGACATTTTTTCGTCCAGCTCGCAAAAGCGAAAGACGTTTGTGCCCCGAAGAATAATTTTACTGAGTGAACAGTATCTCGTAGTACCCAGTCAGAGTTTTCAGGTCCTCTCTGCCTAAATTGAGTAGTTTCTTTGAAGCTTCATTTGAAGGGCAGATAAATCGTTTGGCGTACCTCTGCCCTGAACACTCTATGCAAGGCTTTTTGAAGACTTTGTGACACACTGTAGTAGCTCATTGCTTCGCCAGATATGCCGTCTACTTATTGCTATCATGTCCCCCATGCCCAGGTATCCATCCGTAAAACTGTGTGTTTTGGCGCCTAGGTTAGAGGTTATTTTATGGGACTTCAGTCTCAGCTCGGCAAAGCACTAACATATTGTGTAAGCGCGAACCTATTATTCAGTGCTAGTAGTGCTGCCTGACCGTCCGACATAATGCAGATATATTTCGTGGATTAGCCTCTTCTGAGGCATTCTCTGCCACAGATTTTTATCGCTTGGAAGATGGTGAAGTTGCTACCCATTGGTATAGGTTGTTTGAAGTTCGATTCAAATATTCCAGCCCCAGTTTTTCATTTTCCAGGTTGGATTCATCGGTATACCAATTAGGGTTGGTGTAAGTGTTCCCTGCATTCCAGAGCTCCATCTGCATTAAATACATCAAAATTCCTAGAGATTTCTAGTTTTGGTACTAGCCTAGCTGTTTGACTCAAAGTATCAATAGTACTGCGGTATTCTTTAAAGTTTAAACGAAGCTCTTTTCGAAGAACGAATTAGCTGCTCGTACTTCTTTTGTCGGCAGCGGAAGCGTTTCCAGTCCATCTCAGCATTTCTTTTGAGGGGTTGATTTAAAAATTCCCTTGCATCAGTCCTCAACTTCTGAAGCTCCTTACTGCACCATGGGGTAGGAGTGCGTGCGGCTAAGGGGTGGGCGAGGCGGACAAGCCTTATGCAAGATTACACAAAAAGCGGCCCTTACATTCACCTTCGCCTTATCAATGTTCTAACTATAACTCAGCGTATTAAAACTTATTCATATAAATTTAAAGACTTGTTGGGCTATAGCTGGGCAAAGTCAAAATTATGACGAATTTTTGCCAGTTTTATTGTAAAAAAATATAAATTTTTAAACCCTGGTAGCAACCTGGTAGATGCCTTTATTTTGTACCTAGAAAGATGAACATAAATAAAGAGGAACAACATGGTGCTGATATTTGAAGGACCTCCCTAATACATAAGTATATTTGTATATATGTACATTCGTATGTATGCATATGATTTGCTTTGAGCCCACACAATTGATGAGTTTCCACTCATGATTAATTTTACTGACCAAAATAATTTAGCTCCAGCACATCCACTATTCGATTTTAAATGAAACAGTAGTACATAGTTTTGGATTTTATTAAAATATTTTTTATTTGCTATATGTATGTATATATTTTGAAAATTTTGTTTATACATATGTCGATCCCTTTGGTGTCGATATTCTAAACCGCTCGGCATGCATGGTGATGGCAAGTCTGAAATCGCACCAAAACAGGAACATACAATCGAAAGTCTACCTGATAAGTCGCCAGAGTGAGCAAATCCAGACATATCTTTTAAATAGGGAAATGGTTGCCGAGTGCAAGCGACCTCGTCTAATTACGTCCATGTGCTTGATCATGACGGATCTAACTTTCACCATTTTCCTTAGCATTTCCATGATCATGCTTATCTTGCTTCTTTCCAGTCTTGTTTCCATGTTTACCATGATCATTGTGAGAATGTGAACGAGATCCCGAACGATTACATAGTTTTCGACTTACATGTGGAGAACAAGTATTTTCCGGTCTAGTAACAAATCGCGGGTGATGTTGACATAGTTGGTTAAGAGGAACTGTTGGGAGGCTGATGCCGTTTTGTTGGTTCACCTGCTTGCTGCATCAAATCATGTGGAACTTAAGCCGGAGCCTTGATCAGAACTTGAGTTGTAACTAAACTTGTATGATGGCCTCGTTTAGTAGTTTTTGTGCCATGCACGCCTTCTTGATAGCAGTTTGAAGCATTTCATCCTCATCTGTAGTTTCTTTTGAAGCATCTAGCGCTGGTTCGTGGCTACAGAATGTCTCTGGCTCACCCATAACGACCTTTTCCGGATGCTTCTCGCTCTGAAACATTTTATCGATAACTTAGATTAAGTTCTAAATTATTCCCACCTGCTTTTTGTTCTTGCAGCATCAACTTTAGTTATATTTGATCAACGATTATTTATTTGTTTTACTGTATGCACGCTGATTTTATTTGTTCACACTAGTGGCTGCGCTACTCAACTGATGCTTACCGCCGGCAAATTTTACACTCATCTAAAACGTTGCGAAAACGCTGTGTCTCGTCTGCTTGACGTTGATGACTCATGCGCCAACGTTTGCAAACGTTTACGCTTATTCGATTTGAACAATGGTTGTTAGGCTGTACTGGTGTAGATAAGAATGGGTGTCGCACTGTGAAACGTTTCCATACGAATTCTAGGCAAAAATACAGTCACTTTACTTTCTTAAGAATTTAGGCTTCATTTTCTGAAATAGGACTGTTGTCCGTCACGCAATCTGGAAGAGTTTAGGCAAGGGTTTAAACGGCAGCTAAATACGAAATCATCTCCTGATTCTTACATCCGAAGTACAGTGCATAGAGACTAGGGACCAAGAGTCGGTCATCCCAATGACTTTAGGCAAATGCGGACGAGTATATCTCGCAAATGGCTCATCTGATCTCGGGGTGCCCATAGCAACTTTTGATATTGATATCTTACAAATTTGATTTCGGAAATAAGTACATATGTACGGATTTTTCATGCAAATTGGGCGGGATTATTTGGGTCCGAATCTTAGTGTTTTTGCTGAAATTTACTGTAAAACGAATATTTATGTACATATGTAGATCTCTTACCACTTGAGCTTAACCACGTTCCCGAAGAAAATATTCAGGCATTTAAGATAGGTTTACAAAACCTAGTTGGGAATCAACCCGAAAACAAAATTCTCTCTTTAAGACAAGCACATTTTGATTACCACAAAGAAAGAAGTAGCCAGCGCTATCTCCGGATATATATCATCGGCTGATAATGTGGATTTAACCTGGATCAAAACCCTATATGAATTTTCGGACCTATTTCAGGATTTTCGGGATTCTTGAGACCATTTCTAGAAGACGCTTTTATTGGACAGATAAACCGCTTAGTTGGTTCTCTGCGCTGGATATTCAATACAGTACCCATCGAATTTCTTGTCTACCCAGTTGTGTATGACCTACCCTCTATGTGCTTTGGTTAGCTAAAAAAAGTGCTCCTGCCCATAAAATACTGTGGAACCTCCGTGCCCAGTATAACGGCATTATTGGCTCTAATTTCATTAAACTTGTCATTGACATTAACTATAAATTTTTAAATATTGGCAGTCCCCCAAAATGNCAGTTGTGTATGACCTACCCTCTATGTGCTTTGGTTAGCTAAAAAAAGTGTTCCTGCCCATAAAATACTGTGGAACCTCCGTGCCCAGTATAACGGCATTATTGGCTCTAATTTCATTAAACTTGTCATTAACATTAACTATAAATTTTTAAATATTGGCAGTCCCCCCAAAATTTGTTTTGAAAAACCACTCTCCCCCAACCTTTGATAATTAGTTGGCCACCCTTTTAAAATTTTTTCGCAATAAAGCTTTTTAAATACTCATAGTTTGGAACCAATATAATATATATATATANATTTTTTCGCAATAAAGCTTTTTAAATACTCATAGTTTGGAACCAATATACATAGAATGATTTCATTTAAGTTAATGAATATAATTTTCAACAATGTTTTCAAAATTAAGCTTTTTTAAATAAATCATTTTTGAACCTCCTTCTTTTGGCACCAACATTTTTCCGCTTATTTTATTAAACTTATATATTAATTAATTGATTAATATTTTTGAAAAAGGTCAACTCCCTCAAAAAAAAAATTGATTCACTCCACGCTGTAAAGAACATAATTTTTTTCTCACCTTTTAAACCGACATACTACAGCTGTATTTCGAAGATGTGGCTATTCTAGGCATTCTCTGCCATCATTTTATTACACGAATCCCTGCTTGAAAAATAGCGGGGAAGCTGCCTAGTGGGAATTTCGCTCCATTATATGACAGCTCAAGTTGTTCTGTTTTCAAGTAAAAGCTACAATAAGATTACATTATCTTTTAACACTCATGGCTTAAACAGAACAGTGGGATGCAATACACAAATCTTAAGAGAACGTTAGATCTATCAGAGACGTCGAGGACGGAAAGCAAGTAAGGACGGGAGTTTTATAAAAGGTTTAAGGGGCAATAAAAAGGTATGTGTTCCACTAGCACAAGATCGTGAATACGCAGAGCTTTGACGTTTAAAGAAAAGTTGTTTCTTTAAAAAGTTGAAATATTTACCTGTTCTCTCACCAGTGCCTTGTCATCGCAAATGACCATAAAAAAGTTGGCCAATAAGTTTTGAAAGTCATAAATATGCATTGGGAATATGTATTTTCAACTTAAGCTGTTTTACTAAAATTTGCACTGAATTTTGTTTACAAACAACTTTGCTGCGACGCCAGTTCTAATCTACAGCTTAACGAGTGTGTTTAATAACAACACGCCACGGCGCACCAACAAATGCTTTCTGGCAAAGCTTATTGCGAAACGTTTACAAAACGTATACGTATATGAGTCAGACTGGCTCTTATCATCCAATACGTCGGGCAGACGAGACACAACGTTTTCGTAACGTTTTGCATGAGTATAAGAATTGCCGGCTGTGTAGCAGTGACCAGCAGTTAGGCAACGTATCCAAAAGTGTAAGCAGTAAAATATAGCAGCGAAGCAAAATAAATATCAACCAATACTTGAGAATCTGTTCTAACAAATTATTTACCTATCACTACTAAAATTGACACCGAAAGAAAGCATAACAGGTAGGGAACATATTTAAATTAATCTTTGATTGGCAATCAAATGTCACATAGCGAAAAGTATCCGGAGGAGGTGGTAATGGTTGAGCCAGAAGCTTGCTGTAGCCACGAACCAGCACCAGATAGTACGGGCAAAATGTCCGATGAGCGTAAAATGTTACAGAAGGCAATTAAAAATGCGTACAAGGCACAAACGCTACTGAATAAGGCTATTAAACGCCTCGAGGCTGGAGAGAAAGAGAAAAGAAAGTATAAGCGGAATAAGCGCCATTCGAGTAGTTCGTCGAGTTCCAGCTCAAGTTCAAGTTCCGGCACAAGCTTTAGCTCTAGTTCAAGTTCCAGTGACAGTGACGTGGTTGATTTGACGAAGCAAGCAGGTGAACCCAAAAAACGGCATCACGGACGTAAACATCATCATGACCGCCGCAATCGACGTGGTCGTGATCGTTCGCGCACGCGTTCACATTCACGTGGACGCTCTCGCGGTCGCTCTCGTGGTCACTCACGCGGTCACTCACGCGGTCGCTCTCGTGGTCACTCACGCGGTCACTCACGTGGTCGCTCTCGTGATCACTCACGTGCTGGCTCCCGTGATCAATCACGTGGACACTCTCGAGATCGCTCTCGCGACCGTCAGTTGTGCCAATTCACGCGGTTTTTTCGTGGCGCCAGCCTCCCAATGGCTCCCCCCATTAGACAGTGTCACCACTACCGGCGATCACATGCTAGACCTGAAAATACGTGCTCTTCACATGTAGAAGGAAAATGGCATAGCCGTCGGAGATCGCGTTCACATTCCCGTGAGAATCATGGCAAACATGGTCAAAAGAAACATCACAAAAATAAGGATCACAAGAAGGGCAAGGAGCAACGGAAGCATCGTCATCACCGTGACAAGGAAAATGATGAAAATGAGCGCCGACATCATCACGAAGATGAACATCGTAAGCGAGATCGCTCGCACTCACGCGGCCATTCACGGGATCGGCGATCTTATCCTTATTTTAATAGTACACCTGGATTTGTCAATGCTGACGGCTTATCAGGTGGATGCCCGTACTTTAATGCATTTTCGCATGTACCACCACCACATATGAAAAGTGGGGCAGGGGATCGCCACAGCAGGGATCGACATCGTCATGGTTTTACACATGGACCAGCGGACGCTTTCAATTGGCATTGGATGTCGCCAATATACTGTAGTGAAAAGCGAGACCAAAGACGCAGAGCACATAGTGTGCCAGGACATTAATAGAAGAAGACGTCTACTTGCTTTTATGTTTAGTATTATTTATATACATATGTCTACATACATACACATATACATATATTAGGTTGAAGCATTTAAAAGGCTACAACTGACAAATTAAAAACTAAAGAATGAAAATTTACTGAAAATCCACAACAAAAATATACAAAAATCGAACAAATTAAAAAAAAAAAAACCATACCCATATTATAAACTTTATTAAAACAATTAAAATATAAATAAATACATTCTAATTTTAAACTCAAAATTGTTTTTTCTTTTACAAATATTTGATTTTAAAAATGCATCTGTTGGAGCTGAACTACTATGTTGGTCAGTAAAATTTATCATGAATGCAATTCATTGATTGTGCGGACTCAAGCCATATGGATGTATGGATGAGTCGAAACTCTTTTTCAGATGCTAGTTGGTTAGGCAAAAACATATCTTACTAATATTATAAATGTGGAAGTTTGTATGTTTGGATGTCCATGAAATGAAATTTCGTACGCAGATAGCTTATGGGCCAGATTGGTTAATAGGCTATTTTTTTAAGAGTTGCCACCTGTTAAAAATTTTAATTTATCTAATATGCGGGAACGACGGAACGGATTTGCATGAAAATTTGCACACAGATAGCTTATGAGCTAGGGTGGAAAATGGGACACTTTTTAAAAGTTGCCACCTGTTAAAAAAGTTTAATTAAATTAACACGCTGAAGCGACTGAACAGATTTGCATGAAATTTGGCACAGATATAGCTTATGACCTACCTTGGAAAATAGGCTACTATTAAGGGAGTTGCCACCTGTTAAAAAGGTTTAATTACATTAATACGCGGAAATGACTGAACTGATTTGCATGAAAGTTTGCACACATTGGAAGATTGGCTACTTTTTTAAGAATTGCCACCTGTTTGAAAATGAAATTTTGGTCACAGATGGTTTATGATCGGATTGAAAAATAGGCTACTACCTTAACCGGTTTCCCAGTCAGAACGAAATTTGGTATACTTACTACGGATTTCGCAAGGATGGTCTTAGACTAGTAATTCCGATAACTCAAGGCCCCTCCCATACAAATTGGAATTTTCATATTACATACATATCTCTGGAAGTATTTGTGGGAGAGAACTGGAACTTGGTATAGAGATATGTATAGGAAATCAATGTTGGCATTAATCGATTGATTTTTTAATCAATTAGGTAATTGGATTAAATTCAATCTGATTAATCATGATTAATTTTAATCTGACTAAACAGTTAATCGTGATCAAGTAGGTTTGGTGATTAATTAATTTATGCTGGAATTTTCCTGTGCACACAAAGCAAGTTAATCCGGTATGGCTAAGTCGGGTTTCGTCATCAATCTGAGCAATTTGGTGTGCATTTTCATTAAGATCTATACCAACAAACGTTTTACAAACTAGGTTTGTAAAAGCTCTCAGTTTATGTATTATAATTTTAATTTAATTTTGTATTTAATTATAATTTTTTTTATATTATGTGCTTTTTATAAGCGTTAAACACAAAATTATTACTATAACTGGTTTTTGGTTTCAAATTCGGACAAACTAGACAATTTAATCAGATTTTATTTTTAATTGGACTAACGATTAATGATTAAAATTAATTAATCGTAATCGCAGCCAGTGATTAACGAACTTGGCACCGAGATGTGTATACAAAATTAATTCCATACTCATGGAGAAAAATTTGTGTTATTCGAAAAGGGGGCGTGGTACCTCCCGTACAAATTTACTTTTTTATACTGCATATCTCTAGAGGTGTTCATGGTAGAGTACTGGGACTTGGTACTGGGGTATGTAAAATCAATTCTAAATTCATGGAAGAAGTTTAGGGTTATAAAAAAAAGGGGCGTGGCACTTCCTGTACAAATTGACTTTTTCCTCCCACATATCCCTGGAAGTGTTTGTGGAAGAATACTGGAACTTGGTTTGGAGTTGTGTATACAAAATGTATAAATTGCTCATGGAAAAAATGTGAGTTATTATCATGAAAAAAAATGTGATTTATACTAAAAACTTCTTAATACATATCTCTGGAAGGATAGAAAATCTCTGGAAGTATTTTAAATTTGTTATGGAGATTTATTTTATAAGTGCCGTACTGACAGAAAAAATTTAATTTAATGGAAAAGGGAGAGCCGGGTTCGGCCTTATAATGTAAAGCTGGCATGATGCATACATACCTCTTGAGGCATTTGCTACAGTAATGAGGAGTGGTATTTTATCAAGGCCAGGTTACTAAATTTGAGTTGGAAATATTAGAACCCGCCGTGGCACCTCCAAGAAGGTTACACGTTCACGCGTCGTATACCTGGAACCATTTTAAGGNATGCCTAGCGCGCAGACGAGATTTTATAATTTCATAGTTTTAAACGGCGTAAATACCTTAACTGACTTAAATAATAACGAGCTATAGCAAAAGGAACACAGAAATAAAAAATTAAAATGTAGGGTGAAACCCGCGGGTATAAGCTAGTATGAACATACATACGTACATATATGTAAATATGAAAGGAATGAAGTTCGGCGATTTGGAAATTATGTCGGCAAATTCGTCTCAAAAAATCAGAATCAGAAAATCATTTTCTATAAAGTCAGATATTTTTAAAGTTAGAAATCCACACTATGCGTTTCAGTCATTTACCCTACAAGACATTGCTGAGCATTTTAGGCTCACATTTACACTTTTGTTTTTGTAGTATGGCATAAATAAGTAGTTAAATTATTAATGCTGCGGACTTTTCGATGGCAACATTGAGTACTCAATTTATTCCCATGGTCTGAACAAAAATTAATACTTTGATAAGCACTTTTGGAATTAGTGATAATGATAATATGAGCACTCATATGCATTGGCGTAGCCAGAATGAAATTTAGGAGGGGGGGGGGGGGGGNTAAGCTGGCATTTAAGGGTAAAATTTTATATATATATAAGGAAAATTTTAAAGTTAGGGGGGGACTCGAGCACCCCCTACCCCTACCTGGCTACGCCCATGCTCATATGATACTCAGCTGTCTTATAGGTTAGTGTTTTTAAATACATACATACATAGGAAATTTAAAAATGCTTGACAAGCGTGCCTATGAATTAACCAACTATGCATGGAATAAATACTCTAAATAGCCACGTATTCAACTAAAAATCCCAATTTTTCCATACGTTCATATTTTATTTTCCCTAGAAAATTGCTTAAATTTTTTAATAACATATCGTTTCCCAATAAATAATTAATAATAATAGATTGGCGCTTACACATATGTTAGTGTTTGGCCGAGCTTCTCCTCCGACTTGTGGGGTGCGCCTTGATGTTGTCACACAAAGCGGAGGGACCTAAAGTTTTACGCCGACTCCGAACGGCGATTATATTTTTATGAGAAGCTATTTTTCATGGCAGAAATACACTCGGAGGTTTGCCATTGCCTGCCGACGGACGACCGCTGTTAAGAAAAAACCTTTTTCTATATTTTTTGCGATGTTGCACTGTGAATGGCACAAAATACACGTGACTCCAGTCAGTATTTAGATATTTTTATCCACACATGTATGTAGTCCATAACTTTAAGGAGTGCGAAGATTTTGGCTTGAAATGAAGCATATATTCAAGTGAGAAGTGAAACTCACACTAATTACCTGTGGTGTAATTATGCCAGCACCTTACTTAAAAATACTTCGGATGACCATTCGGGTCGCTCTACCACAAAGCAGCTCTTTGGGCTTTAAATCGTTCACGTCTCTGAGATAGCATTAACCCCTGCTACATTAGGCATGTTTTATTCAACCATCACAAGCAAATAGTTAAATCTTGGTCAAATAAAACGAAATTAGCTTATTTCCTATGTTAGCCTAATTTTGACAGTTGTTTGACTGCAAATAGTGTCAAAGTAAGTTTTTGCCTCTTTCTGATTGGCGGAAGGAGAAAATTTCTGATGCTGAATGGCAATGCCTCTTGTTCAATAAACAAGCCAAGATAGCTTTTCATAAGCCAATATAATTATGTTGGGTAAGTCCTCCGTACAAAATAAGCTAATAGCTTAAATTTCTGGACAAATAAAACACGGCTATTGTAGTATGTGAAACAGCTATTAGAGTGAGCTTTTAGCCTTGTGCAAGGCCATATCAAACTAAAAGCTTTGAAAAGTTCTGTTCGAGAGCTATGCATTGGTCCTCGCTGATATAAAATGTACATATCGTCACCTTAATTCATAAAGGCCCTAACCAACACTTTTTTAGAAACTACATTTTTCGCAGATTTTGGTACGACATATTAAAATATATCTTCGCTAAAAATTTGAAAGTGTTAGTACCAAAAGCAATAGAGTTATGCCACTTTTTAACCGACTTCCAAAAAAGGAGGAGGTTATCAGTTCGTCGGAATATTTTTTTTTTTTTTTTTTTNGTTACCGCATAACTTTGGACCACGTCAATCGATTTCGATAATTCTTTTTGCATCGGAAAGGTTGTCTCAGAGGTGGTCCCATACTAATCTGGTTAAGAACCGATCAGTGAATCATGAGATATATATATATATATTTTTTTTTTATATGAGAGTTGAAGTCGGTTTTTTTGTTTGCTTGTTGACTTCGACGGCGATGTAATTTTTTCATCAAGAAATAGCTCCTCATAAGTCCAACTCCAGCTACGCTGACCACATTATTTCTGCGAGGAACACCTTTTCAGTAAAATACTGTGGTCAGCGTAACTGGAGTTAGACTTACGATCAGCGTTGCCGGAAGATTTCGCTGAAAAATTGTCATTTTACCCTGAAAAAATCGTCATTTCGGTCACAAAGTAGAAAATAGAAAGAAAATTACATAAATTACATACAATAAATATGACCACACTATTTTTAAACCAAACATTGCATATGGGTTAATAAAAGTGGATTTGTAGTTGTTAACGACAATTTTAAATTACACTTTAACACACAACTGCTTTTAAATTGTTCAACTCCGCTCCAGAGTAAAACTCTCTCTGCCCGTCGCTGAACCATAAACTTCAAAACTTTGTAACCATTTCCTTCAAAACTCGAATAACTAGAGATTACGAGTCGACTAATCAGTAATTCATCAGTGTTGGCCAGAGAGAGCTTTTATACTGTTCCAATAAAACTCGTATATAACTTTTATAGTCTCTTTTGCCAATGTTTGTGATAAAAAATGTA